CTCTCCTTCTTCCATCCATCCATCCATCCATCCATCCATCCATCCATCCATCCAGCTATCTATCCTCTCCTTCTTCTACCTACCTACCTACCTACCTTCCTACCTACCTACCAAACATCTATCATCCCTCCCTCTCTTGTAATCTATCATCTCTCTATCTATCATATATCTATCCTCTCTCTTTCATCTATCTATCTATCTATCTATCTATCTATCTATCTATCTATCTATTTCTCTCTCTATCATCTCTCTCTCATCTTGTCTTTATCTATCTACTCTCATCTATCTATCTATCTATCTATCTATCTATCTATCTATCTATCTATCTATCTACTCTCTATCTCTTGCCTATTATCTATCATCCCTCTTTCTCATCTTCTCAGTTATATATCTGTCTATTTATCTGTCATCTCTCTTGTCTATTATCTGTCTGTCTATATCTATCTACTTTTCATCTCTCTCATCTTGTATTCTATTTGTCTGTCTGTCTATCTGTCATTCTCTCTGTCTTGTCTATGTAACATGGTTTTTGTTCCTTGGTTATAAAAGTAATTATTCCCTAATTAGTTCTATTATAAGAAGTTTATGAAACTGCCAAAACTTTGTTTCTGCAGAAGGGACATCTTACTATAGCACATTTCAGTGGGCTGAGACTCAATGAATATCTCATCACTGAGTCTCAACTAATTCAACTTAGTTTGTGGCAGCCACAAAAACAAAGTGTCTGGAGTAGGTCAACTGCTTTGAAAGTCAGGGCCTCACCATTAAACAGGAAATAACACTTCCAAAATTAGGAACAGAACATATTTTCAAATTTTGTTACATAGTGTTATCTATTTCTTTCCCATTCTGGACATTCCCCAAATCTCCTATTTCGAGACGCGTTTGGCTTCCCAAGTTCCTCAAATCCCAAACCTTCAAAAGGAAAACTATCCACAAAGTTGGGAAAATAGGGCGCCTGTTGAGACCATGCATCCTTTGATGCCACAGGGTCACGGCTTTTGCCCTCCGGATCTTTGGGCAAGTCCACAACTACGTCCCGGTGGATCAGAATTCTCTGTGCAACACTCTGACATGGATGATTGACATGTGTCAAATGAACGATGGGTCTTTCCGAGAAGTTTCGTCCTACCAACCAATAAAACTACAAGTAGGTTTTAAAATTTTCTTTTACAAAGAAATATAGTTTTGTCTGGTGGAGCCTGGAGTTTTAATTCTGAGGATGAGTGGCCATCTGTTGGGAGGGATTGGGTGGTGTCTTCCTATAGCAGTGGTTCTCAACCTTCCTAATGCCGCGACCCCTTAATATAGTGGTTCTCAACCCTAATGACCCCTTAATACTATCCCTCATGTTGTGGTGACCCCCAACCATAATATTGTTTTGTTGCTACTTCATAACAGTCATTTTTGTACTGTTATAAATCATATTGTAAATATCTGATATGCAGGATGCATTTTCATTGACTGAACCAATCTGGGCACAAATACCCAATACACCCAAAAGTGAATTCTAGTGGGGTTGGGGGAAGATTGATTTTGTAATTTGAGAGTTCTAGTTGCTGGGATTTATAGTTTACCTATAATCAAAGAGCATTCTGAACTGCACCAGTGATGGATTTGAACCAAACTTGGCTCCCATGACCAATGGAAAACACTGGAAGGGTTTGATGGGCATTGACCTTGAGTTTGGGAGTTGTAGTTCACCTATATCCAGAGAGCACTGTGGACATGCAATGGTGGATCTGGACCAAACTTGGCACGAATACTCAATATGCCCAAATGTGAACACTGGTGGAGTCTGCGGAAAACAGATCTTGACATTTGGGAGTTGTAGTTGCTGGGATTTATAGTTCATTACAATCAAAGAACATTCTGAACTCCACCAACGATAGAATTGGCTCAAACTTCCCACATGGAATCCCCATGACCATCAGTAAATACTGTGTTTTCTTATGGTCTTTGGTGACCCCTCTGTCACCCCCTCGCGACCCCCTCAGGGGTCCCGACCCCCAGGTTGAGAAACACTGTCCTATAAGATGGTCTTTTGGGATCTCTTCCAACTCTATGAAAATATATATTTTTTTTGTACTCCTGTCCTTAACCATGTATTTAATTGTTTATTTTGCAAAAGGGGACGTTACCGAAAGAAAAAAAAGAACACACTTTGTACTTGACTGCCTTCACTCTGATTGGGTTCACCAAAGCCATTCATATATGCCCGTTGCTGGTGAGTAAGGCCATGTTCCATCTTCCAGGAGCATGGTTTACATTGCCTTTTAGCTGCATGGGATAGCATTCCTTTGCATTTCCCCAGGGTTGCTACAGACCCAGCAGCACCCTGGAAGTTAAGCAGTATCAGATTCTGGAAAGCCAGGCTGCAGGCCCTCTGCAGTTATTGGTCTAGAAAGTATCTCTTTGGGTTTGGAGTCCTCCCTTTTTCCCGGGGTTGAGATCTCCATTTTGGAATCTCCCCTGCCTCCTTCAGTAGAGAAAAAGGCCTCAGATGTGCTGTTAGTCTGAAAAACCCATTGTGAGTACTATGTGATGTGGCGGCAAAAAAAGCCAATGGGATTTTGGCCTGCATCAATAGGAGCCTAGTGTCTAGATCTAGGGAAGTCATGCTACCCCTCTATTCCGCTTTGGTTAGACCACACCTGGAATATTGAGTCCAATTCTGGGCACCACAATTGAAGAGAGATATTGACAAGCTGGAATGTGTTCAGAGGAGGGTGACTAAAATGATCAAGGGCCTGGAGAACAAGCCCTATGAGGAGCGGCTTAAAGAGCTGGGCATGTGTACCCTGAAGAAGAGAAGGCTGAGAGGAGACATAATGAGAGCCATGTATAAATACATGAGAGGAAGTCATAGGGAGGAGGGAGCAAGCTTGTTTTCCGCTGCCCTGGAGACTAGGACGCAATGAAGCAATGGCTTCAAACAACAAGAAAGGAGATTCCATCTGAACATTAGGAAGAACTTCCTGATTGTGAGAGCTGTTCAGCAGTGGAACTCTCTGCCCCAGAGTGTGGTGGAGGCTCCTTCTTTGGAGGCTTTTAAACAGAGGCTGGATGGCCATCTGTCGGGGGTGCTTTGAATGCAATTTTCCTGCTTCTTGGCCAAATGGGGTTGGACTAGATGGCCCATGAGGTCTCTTCCAACTCTATGATTCTAAGAAATAGTTTTACAAGATCTACAGAGATACTCGCAGGAACACCTCAGCAAGCCAGAGTCCAAATGTGGCAAACTATTTATTTATTGTGACAGGAGCGAACCAAAACAGTTGTATTGTATTCAAAACAAACAAACAAAACACAAATTTTGCAGGCTTGGTATTCTGTTAGGAATTGTGGGAGTTGGAGTCCAAAACACCTGGAGGGAGAAGCTTGCCCATGCCTGGTTTACTTGTATTCACACCAGAATCAGCCATTGATTAAGGATTCATATTTTAGCCTGCCAGTATCTGGCCACTTGGAGTGCCTTCTTGGCAGGGGGTTGGACTGGATGGCCCATGAGGTCTCTTCCAACTCTTGATTCTATGATTCTACTATTGAGTTACAGATAGATAGAATAGAAATTGAGCAATTGAGTACTATTGAGCCATAGATAGAAATTGAGTATAATTGAGATAGATAGAAAGAATAGCAATTGAGTAATAGAGAGAAATAGTTATTGAGTACTATTGAGCATTACTTCATCTCCAAAACTGACCTTGTGATAGATAGGGAAAGACCTGTTCTTTCTAACCCAGTGGTTCTCAACCTTCCTAATGCCGTGACCCCTTAATACAGTTCCTCATGTTGTGGTGACCCCCAACCATAACCCTAACATTATGAATCGCCATGTAAATAATGATCTGCAGGATGTATTTTCATTCACTGGAGCAAATTTGGCACAAATACCCCGTATGCCCAAATTTGAATACTGGTGGGGTTGGCGGGGGGATTGATTTTGTCATTTGGGAGTTGTAGTTGCTGGGATTTATAGTTAACATGTAAACAAAGAGCATTCTGAACCCCACCAACAATGGAATTGAACCAAAGTTGGCACAGGGAACTCCCATGATCAACAGAAAATACTGGAAGGGTTTGGTGGGCATTGGGAGTTGTAGTTCGCCTACATCCAGAGAGCACTGTGGGCTCAAACAGTGATGGATCTGGACCAAACTTGGCACAGATACTCAATATGCCCAAATGTGAACACTGATGGGGTTTGGGGAAAATATGTCAGAGTACTGACGTTTGCCAGTGGAAGGATTGCTAGATCAGCAGACACTGTGATTTCAGAAATCAGGACTCTGCAGACTTTTAGTTACAACAGAACACTAAGTTTGCTAAGTACATCTACACACGTCTATTCACAGCAGGCATCCAACAGGAACAACAAAGCACAAAACAACAGTTTCTGAACATCTGCTTATCTGACTTTTTGGCTGAGACCAGATCCTCCCACTTCTTCCCAGACAGGGAACACTTTATCTCATTTCTGTCAAGGTTACTTTTTTCTCTGCCTCTCACAGTATTTCTAATACACAATTAAGCAGAATAGAATCCATCTTGAAATACATCTTAATCCATCTTGAATTACATAGAAACACATGCATAACTAAATAATCCTGACAAAATAGACTTTGACATTTGGGAGTTGTAGCTAGTGGGATTTATAGTTCACCTACAATCAAGGAACGTTCTGAACCCCACCAATGATAGAATTGGGCCAAACTTCCCACACAGAACCCCCATGACCAACAGAAAATACTGTGTTTTCTGATGGTCTGACAACCCTTCTGACACCCCTTCACAACCCCCTCAGGGGTCCCGACTCCCAGGTTGAGAAACACTGTTCTAACCATAGCACCTCAGGGTTAGGGTGAAATATCTCAGGATTTTTTCTACCATTTGGAGAAAGGTTACCTCAGTAATTGAGGAAAAAGGGAAAGAAAGAACATCTCTATGGTTTCTCAAATTGACTGTGTTGTAACTTTATCAAGCTGTGCCAAGTCTGCCAAGGACTTTGGAAATAAATATTTGGTTGATGTTCATATCTTGACTGACATCAGTTGCTGAAAGTATTGAGTTATTGCTTCAAAGAAAGACCCCCAGCAGTTCACCCAGATAAAGAGAGAAGCACATCTTAATTTTAATGTTGTAGGGTCTGGGTGTGATGGCACAGGCCACCTTTTCCTCATTGGCATCCTCATTGCTATATATGTAAATATAGCTATACCTAAGTGAAAATATGTATTCATGTGTGGCTGAGGTGTCCACTTCCACAGACAAGCTCCCACTTCCATAAAGAACTATAGCTCCCACTACTCAGGAGACACCAAAGGCTCTCCCTCCAATGACATTGCAGGTTATAGTGAGCGCCATGAATATGTCCAAGAGGCCTTCCAATGTCCTCTACAAACACCACACTGTCCACCACCCAAGTGAAGGCTTTCATATGGGGACAATTTGATTTTCTGTGTTTCCTCCACCACAGACATCCTAGTGTTCCTTTCTCTCTCCCTTGGTGTGGAATTTGCATGACCCCGCCCACTGCCTCTCCCTTAACCCTTTCCTATTCTTTTCTATTTTACTAGAGAGTTTTGGGGAGAATTCACCATGATTTAGAGGAGTTGTAGGTACTGGGATGTATAGTTCACCTCTCATTCTTTCTTCCTTTTGCTCTTTCAGTCTTTTAACCTTTCTTTTGTTCTTTCTTTTGGATCCGACACTAATCTTTCCACCTTGGCCTTTGCAGAAAGCGGAAGAGTCCAAAAACAGGGCGGTGGATTACCTGCTGCAAAACGTGGAATCTGCGCAGAGCTCCTTCACCTTGGCCATCGCCACCTATGCGCTCACCCTGACCCGAATGAACAACCTCAAGGCGCGACAGGCCTACACTTCGCTCAAGTCGAAAGCGATGGTCATCGGTAAAGATATAGAAGGCATATAAAGCATATAAGGCATTGTATGCATGGCAATGTAGACTCAGCCTTTGTCGCAAATGATGGTTTCTACTAATCCGTGGATGAATCTGACCATTTTGATTCCTTTCTGTGCAGGAAATGAGATTCCACCTAAACATTAGGAAGCATTTCCCGATAGCCTAAGCTGTCTAATAAGGGAATAGGATGCCTTTGAGTCCAGTGGAGTCTTTTAAACAGGGATTGGGAGGGATTGGATTGTGTCTTCCTCAATGGCAGAAGTGGGTTGGACTGGATGGCCCTTGGAGTGTCTTCCAACTTTAGGATTCTATCATTCATTCATTCATTCATTCATTCATTATACCCTCATTTGTGGCAGATTGGTTGATTCATTGTGTCTTAATTTATGGCAGATGGATGGATTAATTCATTCATTGCATCTTTCTTTATGACAGGTTGATTGATTGATTGATTGTGTCTTCCTTTATGGCAGATTGATGAATTGATTGATTGATTGGTTAATTGTGTCTTCCTTTATGACAGATTGATCGATTGTGTCTTCCTTTATGGCAGATTGATTGATTGTGTCTTCCTTTATGGCAGATTGATTGATTGATTGATTGATTGTGTCTTCCTTTATGGCAGATTGATGAATTGATTGATTGATTGGTTAATTGTGTCTTCCTTTATGACAGATTGATCGATTGTGTCTTCCTTTATGGCAGATTGATTGATTGTATCTTCCTTTATGGCAGATTGATTGATTGATTGATTGATTGTGTCTTCCTTTATGGCAGATTGATGAATTGATTGATTGATTGGTTAATTGTGTCTTCCTTTATGACAGATTGATCGATTGTGTCTTCCTTTATGGCAGATTGATTGATTGTGTCTTCCTTTATGGCAGATTGATTGATTGATTGATTGTGTCTTCCTTTATGACAGATTGATTGATTGATTGATTGTGTCTTCCTTTATGACAGATTGATTGATTGTGTCTTCCTTTATGGCAGATTCATTCATTCATTCATTCATTCATTCATTGCATCTTCCTTTATGACAGATTGATTGATTGATTGTGTCTTCCTTTATGGCAGATGGATGAATGGATTGATTGGTTCATTGTGTCTTCCTTTATGACAGATTGATTGATTGATTGTGTCTTCCTTTATGGCAGATTCATTCATTCATTCATTCATTCATTGTGTCTTCCTTTATGACAGATTGATTGATTGATTGTGTCTTCCTTTATGGCAGATTGATTGATTGATTGATTGTGTCTTCCTTTATGACAGATTGATTGATTGATTGATTGTGTCTTCCTTTATGACAGATTGATTGATTGTGTCTTCCTTTATGGCAGATTCATTCATTCATTCATTCATTCATTCATTCATTGTGTCTTCCTTTATGACAAATTAATTGATTGATTGTGTCTTCCTTTATGGCAGATGGATGAATGGATTGATTGGTTGATTGATTGATTGTGTCTTCCTTTATGACAGATTGATTGATTGATTGTGTCTTCCTTTATGGCAGATGGATGGATGGATTGATTTATTAATTGTGTCTTCTTTTATGGCAGATTGATTGATTGATTGATTGATTGTGTCTTCCTTTATGACAGATTGATTGACGGTGTCTTCCTTTATGGCAGATGGATGGATGGATTGATTTATTAATTGTGTCTCCCTTTATTGATTGTTTGATTCATTCATTGTGTCTGTCTTTATGGCAGATTAATTGTATTCATTCATTGTATCTTCCTTTATGGCAGATTGATTGATTGAATGATCGTGTCTTCTTTTATGGCAGATTGATTGATTTACTGATTGATTCATTCATTCATTCATTTTGTCTTCTTTTATGACAGATTGATTGATTGTATCTTCCTTTTCGGCAGATTGATTGATTGTGTCTTCCTTTACGGCAGATAGATGGATGGGTTAATTCATTAATTCATCAGCTTCTTCTTTATGGCAGAAGTGGTTGGACTGGATGGCTCTAAATGTGGTCTGTGATGCTATGATTCTCCGCATGATATAGCACTTGTGGCTGTTGCTGCCCTTTGCCAGATGATCCAGGACCAGTCTTCTTGGAGCCTGCCCTTCCTGAATTTGACAGTGTGCTCTCGCTCCCTCTCCTTCTTTTAGGGAACCCACCCAAATATCGTTTCTGGAGGGACTCTGCATCGGACATCAGTCAGATCTCGGAGGGGACGTCCCGGATGGTGGAGACAACCTCCTACGCCGTGCTGGCCGCTCTCCTGCGTGGAGACCAGCCCTATGCCAATCCCATTGTGCGCTGGCTCTCGGAGCAGCAGAGATACGGCGGAGGGTTTCATTCTACGCAGGTACCACTCTCCCATTTTGGCCATTTTGGAAAAGACATACAAATATAGATAGATAGATCCAAGAATAGATCGATAGATGCATCCATCCACCCATCCATATATACAGAGAAGTATATGTAGATACATAGATACACACATACATAGTACATGTAGATAGATAAATAGATAGATACATATATACATAGAAGTACACGTAGATAGATACATACCGTATATACTCGAGTATAAGCCGACCCGAATATAAGCCGAGGCACCCACAAAAAACTGGAAAAACTTATTGACTCGAGCATAAGCCGAGGATGGGAAATGCAGCAGCTACGGGTCAGTTTCAAAATAAAAATAGATACCAATAAAATTACATTAATTGAAGCATCAGTAGGTTGACTGTTTATTAATATTTACACAAAACTGTAAGATAAGACTGTCCAACTCTGGCTAAACCATTATTCTAACCTTCTTCAATGTACATGTGTTTACGTATCCTTCCAATAATAATAGAGTAAAATAATAAATATAATAATAATAAAATAATAAAGTTAACCTATAAATAATAATAATAATAATAATAATAATAATAATAATAGAGTAAAATAATAAATAACCTTGACTCGAGTATAAGCCGAAGGGAGCTTTATCAGCCTAAAAAAGGGCTGAAAAACTAGGCTTATTTATTTATTTATTTATTTATTTATTTGGGGTTCTTTTACCCCGCCCTTCTCACCCCGAAGGGGACCCAGGGCGGCTTACACAGTAAGGCACGATTCGATGCCGGCAACACAACAATCATCACAACTTACAGTAAAATTCACAATTACTAACATCATCATGCATTATTCCAATAAAAATCAATAAAAATCAATAAAATCAATACAAACCTAGATTCCTCCCTTGCATTGTCAGTGTTTGCTGTCTCATAGATCCGTTTTTTAGTACCATTTCGTCCATCCTGCTAGTCTTTAATTGCCTGGTTGCCCAAAGGCCTGGTCCCATAACCAAGTTTTCACCCTCCTCCTGAAGGAGAGGAGGGATGGTGATGCTCTGATTTCCCCGGGGAGTGAGTTCCACAGGTGAGGGGCCACCACTGAGAAAGCCCTGCTCCTCGTCCCCACCAGCCTCACTTGTGAGAGTGGTGGGGTCGAGAGCAGGGCCTCCCCAGATGATCTCAAGCTCCGAGGCGGGACGTAGCGGGAGATGCGTTCGGACAGATACAGTGGACCGGAACCGTACAGGGTTTTAAAGGTCAAGACCAGCACCTTGAATTGTGCTCGGAATTGAACTGGCAGCCAGTGGAGCTGGCATAGCAGGGGGGTGGTATGCTCCCTGTATGTTGCCCCGGTGAGCAATCCTTCGCCCCGGTATATACTTGAGTATATACAGTATATACATATAGATACATGGATAGATACACACATACATAGAAGTACATGTAGAAAGATAGATAGATGATAGATAGATAGACAGACATACCTACATACACATAGATAAATAGACATAACCCAAGACCCAAAATAATTTTACATAGTGTAATGTAACCTGCCTTATGAGGCTGCTTTGCTTGGCAGCGTAGATGGGGCAATGGAGTCAGAGCTCAACAGATAAAACAGGTGCAGTCCTGCTTCTTCCTTGTCATTTCTTTTCCTCTGTTTCCTTTCTTGTTGGACTCAAACAGGATACGATCAATGCCTTGGAGGCCCTGACCGAATACTCAATCCTGATCAAACGGCTGGTGCTGGACATGAACATCAAGGTGGCCTCCAAAGCGCAGGGAGATTTCCATCGCTACAGACTCACCCGGAACCATTACATCGGCGAACCTGTGGAAGTCAGTGGACTCATGGCAACAGATAAATATTTTAAATTATTTTAAATATATATATACAGAGGGCGTTCCACAGTTTGCAGCGAGTGCAGATTGCCATGCCCCATTTTAATAAATAGCACTATCCATTATTGCCATTGTTTTAATTGAGAACTGAATTAGGCGTCCGTTGTGTTTCTTTGCATTTTCAGGTTCCCCTGGATGATGACATCGAAATCCGCACCAGAAGTAACACCGGATTAGCGTCAGTCAGTGTAAGTATTGTTGTTGTTGTTATTTTCTATATAATTTTTATTGCAAATATATATGAAGAATAGAGAAGGGGTACAAGAGTTGATCTAGTACAGGCAAATTTTAAACACCTTCTTCCATTGTTATCTAATACAAAAAGGCTTCAATAATAATAATAATAATAATAATAATAATTCCCCATATAATTTCTATTACAAAGATATGGGGAATGGTACAAGGACCTTTTCAACATCTTGCATCTTCATCTTCTTCTATTGTTATCTAATACATTTTTATTTAATTTTCTTCGTTCCTCTCTCCCATCCTCCCTCCCTTCCTCTTTCCTTCCCTTTCTTTTCCTCCCTTTCTCCCTCTTCTTCCTCCCTCCTTCCTTCCCTCTCTTCTTTCTCTTTCTTTCTCCCCTTTCTTCTTTCTTTCTTTCTTTCTTTCTTTCTTTCTTTCTTTCTTTCTTTCTTTCTTTCTTTCTTTCTTTCTCCCTTACTTCACTTCCCATTCACATTCTTCCTTCTCTCCTGTTTTTCTCTCTCCCTTTTTCTTTCTTTCTCCCTCCCTTCCTCTTCTATTTCTCTTCTTCCTTCTCTCCCTCTTTCCTTCCTTCTTACCTTCCTTCCTTTCTTCGTTCCTCTCTCCCAGCCTCCTTCCCTTCTTCTTCCCTTCCCTTTCTTTTCCTCCCATTCTCCCTCTTCTTCCTCCCTCCTTCCTTCCCTCTCTTCTTTCTCTTTTTTCTCCCTTTCTTTCTTTCTTTCTTTCTTCCCTTACTTCACTTCCCATTCACATTCTTCCTTCTCTCCTGTTTTTCTCTCTTCCTTTTTCTTTCTTTCTCCCTCCCTCCCTTCCTCTTCTATTTCTCTTCTTCCTTCTCTCTCTTTTCCATCTTTCCTTTCTCTCTCTCTCTTTTCCCCTTCTTTTCACAAACCTAGCCTTACTAAGAAAAGTCCCACTGTGAGTAGTTTCAGTGGGACTTTTCTTGGTGAGACTTTGAAAAGTGGGAGCTCCCACGTTTTGAAGCGGGACGCCCAAACGACATCCCACATAAAAACAAATTCATTCACCACGAAGCAAGAAAACCCTGCTTTGTAGCAAATTAATTTGATAGTGGGTCTTGTTCCGCGCCTTCTTGGAAGAAAGAGGGAGAAAGAAATTGCCTTGATCAGATGCGAGTCCCATTGATTTCTGTGCTTCAAATCCGTACAATTTCGTTTTATTTGCAGCTGAGGAGCGTCTATTATAAGAGCAGCACTTCCGAAGACATCTGTAACTTTGACCTGAAGATTGAAGTCAAGACTGGTGAGAAAGTAATGCTGACCAGAAATGGAAAAAGGTGTTCAAATACAGAGAGGAAATGAGATTTTTCAAATATTTAAATTGCATTTCCTTTGTTTTAAAACTGTCATTAGATTGTGTGGTTGCGAGCTACCTTGAGTTGCCATGGAAAGAAATTAAATATAGTTAATAATAATAATAATAATAATACTGTTTTAAATATAATAATAATAATAATAATAATAATAATAATAATAATAATTTTATATATTATTTGCCTCTTTCTCTGTTTCATCTGGGAAATACAGAGGATGATGGAAGGACAGCTTTCCATAGATCCTTCCACGAGATCCGGCACTTGGAGGCCTGTGCAAAGTAAGTAGGGCCATAGATCAGAGGAAACACAAGGAGCGGGGATAACAATCATGTTAATAGTCGTGGTTAACGAAGGGAGAATTATTTTTCCTTTGAGATGAAGCAAAAATACATGGCATCTTCATCCCTCCTTCTCTTTCTTTCTTCCTCTCTTTTTTCCTTTTCTCCCTCTTTTCTTCCTTCCTTCCTCTTTCTTTCTCCCCTTCTCTCCTTCCTTCCTTCCTTCCTTCCTTCCTTCTCCTTCCTTCCTTCCTTCCTTCCTTCCTTCCTTCCTTCCTTCCTTCCTCCCTCCCCCCCCCCCCTCCCCTCCCTCCCTCCCTCCCTTTCCTTCTTCCCCCTTCCCTTTTTCTCCTTTCTTCCTCTTCTCCCCTCTCCTTCCCTCTCCTCCTTCTCCTTTCCTTCTTTCTTTCTTTCTTTCTTTCTTTTTTTTCTTTCTTTCTTTCTTTCTTTCTTTCTTTCCTCCTTCCTTCCTTCCTTTCTCCCCCTTCCTTCCCCTCTTTTTCCTTCCTTCTCGTTCTTTCCTCCTCCTCCCTTCCCTTCCTAGCTTCATCCCTCCTTTTCTTTTTCCTCTCTTTCTTCCTTTTCTCCCTCTTTCTTTCTTTCCTTCTTTCTCCCCCTTCCTTCCCCTCTTTTTCCTTCCTTCGTTCCTTCCTCCTCCTCCCTTCCCTTCCTAGCTTTCTCCCTCCTTTTCTTTTTTTCCTCTCTTTCTCCCTTTTCTCCCTCTTTCCTTTCTTTCTTTCTTTCTTTCTTTCTTTCTTTCTTTCTTTCTTTCTTTCTTTCTTCTTCTTTCTCCCCCTCTTTTTCCTTCCTTCCTTCGTTCCTTCCTCTCCTCCCTTCCTTCTATTCCTTCTCCTCCTTTCTTTTTTCTTTCTTCCTTTTCTTCCTCTTTCTTTCCTTCCTTCCCTCTCCCCTTTCTCTTTCTTTCCTTCATTCCCTCTTTCTTTTTTTCCTTCCTTCCTTCCTTCCTTCCAATCCTTCCCTTTCTTTCCTTCCTTTCCCTCCTTTTTTTGCTTCCTTCCTTCCCTCCATCCGTTTCCCTTCCCTCCTTTCTACCTTCCTTCCTTCCTTCCTTCCTTCCTTCCTTCCTTCCTTCCTTCCTTCCTTCCTTCCTTCCTTCCTTTCTCTCTTTCCTTTTCTCCCTCCCTCCTTCTTTCCTTTTCCTCCTTTTTCTTTTTAGAATGTTTTTGCAGGGATTCCCCCACTTGCAAGGAAAGTTAGACCCTTTTTGGACCTTTTCCCGATGATGGATTTCTTTCCGAAAGAGGCTCTGAAACAAAGCCACGCTCTTATTTTCCTTTCCGATACTTAGGTACAAGCCGCCTAGGTCTGAGCCCTCATCTCCTTCCTCCCATGCAGTGATGGACATCTCCCTTGTCAGTGGACTGGAAGCCAATATGGAAGATTTATCCATCGTAAGTAGGTTTTTCACCATGATTAGTTTGTTTTTGGTTTTTGAATGCAGTTCAAAGCTCCAAAAAATTATATGCAAATTGTATGCAACTCATATGCAAATTGTATGCAAAAATGTCTGTTTGAGGGGATAATATTGAATTCTGTTTCAAAGTTTGTATATCTTTTAGTTTTTAAATTATATCAAAGTAAGCTACAAACGATAATAACAACATTAATAATAATAATAACAACAATAATAGAAATATTACTATATTATATTTATGGTAATCTCTCAAGTAAGATCTGCAAATGGGCAAATGGGCTTATTTCTGTTGCTGAACCAATGGGAATAAGTGTCTAACCCACTTCTCTTGGGGGACTGTGTCTACATCTATTTGAGAACCGGTTTTGTCTCCTTATTCCCAGCTTGCCAATGTGATCGACCCAATGATTGCGAATTTTGAGGTCAAAGATGGACGGGTTGTGATGCAACTCGATTCGGTGAGTCCCTCACGTTTTCTTTGTAAAGATGGAGGAACAAAAAGGCAATGCATGTGGATCCTAACTTGTTTTCTTCCCATAGATCCCGTCCAACGAATTCCTGTGCATCGGTTTCCGGATCACAGAACTATTCCGCGTGAGCATGCCAAGCCCTGGGACCGTCACTGTCTATGAGTATCATGACCCAAGTAAGGAGGCACTTCCTGCTGATTTTCTTCATAGCTTCCAATGTGCTGGCATTCGCAAATCTTTGGGCATCAGCCAGGCCTCTCAAATCTCATGCTTTCCCTGCTGAAACTGGTCCAGCCACCAGCTCCAGCGATTCTGCAGCTCAAGTGCATGGATCAAACCTGGTCTTTGCACCTCCTCGTGGTGTCAATTGAAAGTGCCACAGAAGTGAGTCCTGAGTTGGAGGAAATCCCCCACAAACAGAAAAGTGATAGAGTTGAATCAGGGACTTCCTGTTGTAGTTTCCGTTTGCTTGCTATTCTTATCAATTGGACAAAAGTAGAGATAGGGATCTGTGCATCGTGACCCCAAGTGACCTCTCCTGATCAGACTCCATCAATGGATTGCTAAATTGAGGTTTGCTGTTTTCTCTTTCTCCTCCCTCCCTCCCTCACTCCCTCCCTCCCTCCCTTCCCTCCTTCTACCCATCCATCCATCTATCCTTTCCTTCTTTTTTCCTTTCTTTCCTTCCTTCCATCCCTCCTTCTCCCTCTCTCCTTCCCTCCCTCCCTCCCTCCCTTCCTTCCTTCTTTCCCTCACTTCTTTCTTTCCATCCCTCCCTCCCTTGCTTCCTACTTCCCTTCCCTTCCTCTTCTCCTTCCCTTTCTCCTTCCTTCCTTCCTTACTTATTTCCTTCTATCCCTCCCTCACTTCTTTCCTTTTATCCTTCCTTCCTTTTTTCTTTCTTTCCTCTTTCCTCCTCTTTCCATCTCCTTTCATCTTTCCCTCTTCCTTCTTTCCTTCCTTCCTTCCTTCCTCCTTCCCTCCCTCCTTCCTCCTCCCTCTTTCCTTCCCTTCTCTTTCCTTCCTTCCCTTCCTTCCCTTCTTTCCCTCCTCCCCTCCTCTCCTTCCTCCTTCCTTCCTTCTTCCTTTCCTTCCTCTTCCCCCTCTTTCCTCCCCTCCTTCCCTTCCTCCTTCCCTCCTCCCTCCCTTCCTTTTCCTCCTCCCTCCCTTCCTTTTCCCTTCCCTCCTTCCCTTCCCTCCCTCCCGCCTTCCTCTCTCTTCTTCCTCTTCTTTCTTCCCTCCTCCTCCCTCCTTCTCCACCCCTTCATCCCCCTTCTTTCTTTCCTTTCTTCCCCCTCCTTCCTTCCTCCCTTCCTTCCTTCTCTCCCTCCTTCCACCTAACCCTTCCTTCTCTTTCCCTCTCCTTCTTCCCTTCTTCTTTCCTCCTTTCTTCCTCCCCTCCCCCCTTCCTTCCTTCCCTCCTTCCTTCCTTTTCCTCCCTCCCTCCCTCCCTCCTTCGTTCTCTCCCTCCCTTCCACCCACCCACCCTTCTTCTTTTGTTAGATCTTTTCCTCCCTTCTTTCTTTCCTCCTTTCATTCCTCCCTCCTTCCCTCCCTCCCTTTCTTCCATCTTTACTCCCCTCCCTCCTTTCCTTCCTCCTCCCTTCTCTCCCTCCCTTTTTTCCCCTTCCTTCCTTTTTGCTCCAGTGTGCCTCACTTCTCAAACTTAAAATGAGTTTAGCCACCAGTGTTTCCCGAAGTCAGATCTCCCCGTTGGCGTGTTTCTTCTCTCATATCCCCTTTGCCCAACTCTCTGGCTGGAGATCCTGACACCCCCCTCTTCTTTTTTTTCATACACAGATAAGAAGTGCTCAAAGTTTTACAATCCTTACGGAGAAGAGTCACTTGTCCGACTGTGTGAAGGCGCCGAGTGCAAGTGCATGGAAGGTAAGGAGAAGAAATCCCCACTGAGTTCAATAGGATGGACTTTCCATAAAGTTTGCTTAGTGGCAAAGCTGTGGCTCAAAACACAGGAGCATGACTGCAGAGGAGGGCAATGCGTCGCTCCCTAGGTGTTTGTTGAACTGCAAATCCCATCACATCCAATAGCGAAGAATGCTGGGAGTTGCAGTTCAGCAATATCTGCCGCAAAGGTGAGTTGCCCACCCTAATGAACTCAAGTCATCCCCGATTCCAGTCTTGCTAATATACAATTTTCCAAATTGCAGCGGAATGCGGGCGCATGCAGGCCAGACTGGACCGATCCATCAGCTTTGATGCTCGGAAGGAAGCCGCTTGCCAGAGTAACATCGCATATGGTAAGATCGATTGGGACACATATTGAAAATGGCAAATGGCACAACAAACCTGAAACATGATGGTGGCATGAGAATCATAGAATCCCCAAGGGCCATCCAGTCCAACCCCCTCCTGTCATGCAAGAAAAGCACAATCCAAGCCCTCTCAATAGATGGCCATCCAGCCTCTGTTTGAAAGCCTCAAAAGAGTCTATCAGACTCTGAGTAAGCATATTCCACCATCAAATAGCTCTGATGATCAGGAAGTTCTTCCTAATGTTTCGGTGGAATCTTTTTTCCCTACCATTTGAATCCATGGCTCCTGTTCTGTCTTCCAGGAGCATGGTTTACATTGCCTTTTAGCAGGCCTTTTTGCAGCTATTGGTTTAGAAAGTATCTCTTTGGGTTAGGAGTCCGCCTTTTTTCCTGGGCTTGAGATCTCCATTTTGGAATCTCCCCTGCCTCCTTCAGTTTTAGAGAAAAGCCTCAGATGTGCTGTAAGGCCAGTCAGAGAGCTCTGAAAAAAATCATTGTAAGTACAATTGAGTAAAGGAAAGAATTGAGCCAAATTGAGTTATTAAGAAAGGCAATTGAGTCTTAGTTGAGTTATACCCCGCTAGCATCTCCCGAAGGACTCGATGCGGCTTACAAAGGCCAAGGCCTCAACACAACAATAATAGACAATAACAATACGATACAAAGCAAATTAAAAACATAAGCAATAACAAAACATTACACTGTCATGCAATAAAAACAGGGCCGGGCCAATGAAGGGTACAGATTAAAAAGTGCTGGGTGTGAGAGGTAGTATGTTGGAATTCTGGGCAAGTGCATTATGCAGAGAGTCTTAAACTCAAGGAAAGTGCTACTGGGACATAGTGCTAGAGGTTATCCTATTCTGGGAAGGCACATCGGAATAGCCAGGTCTTCAAGTTCTTCCTAAAGACTGCCAACGTGGGTGCTAGTCTAATGTCTTTGGGGAGGGTGTTCCAAAGTCGGGGGGCAACCACAGAGAAGGCCCTGTCCCTCGTCCCCACCAAACGCGCCTGCGACGCAGGTGGGATCGCGAGCAGGGCCTCTCCGGATGAACGAAGGGAGCGCGTGGGTTCATAAACGGAGATGCGGTCACGCAGGTAGGCAGGTCCCAAACCATTTAGGGCTTTGTAGGTAAGCACCTGCACCTTGAATTGGGTTCGGTAGGTAAACGGCAGCCAATGGAGCTCCTTAAACAGGAGGGTTGACCTCTCTCTGTAAGGAGCGCCAGTTAACATCCTGGCCCCCGCCCATTGGACCAGTTGGAATTTCTGAGCCGTTTTCAAGGGCAGCCCCACATAGAGCGCATTACAGTAGTCCAATCTAGAGGTGACCAAGGCATGGACCACCCCGGCCAGATCAGCCTTTGCGAGGTACGGTCACAGTTGGCGCACAAGTCTCAATTGTGCAAAAGCCCTCCCGGACACCGCCGACGCCTGAGCCTCAAGCATAAGCGATGAATCCAAGAGGACACCCAAACTGCGGACCTGTGACTTCAGGGGGAGTGTAACCCCGTCCAACACAGGTTGCCACCCTATACCCCAATCTGGTTTACGATCGACCAGGAGGACCTCTGTCTTGTCGGGATTGATCTTCAGCTTGTTCTCCCTCATCCAGATAGCCACAGCGGCCAGGCACTCGTCCAGCACTCGAGGGGCCTCCTTGGAATTAGGTGGAAATGAGTAGTAGAGTTGTGTGTCATCTGCATAGAGATGGCACCTAGCTTCAAAACTCCGGATGACCTCTCCCAGCGGTTTCATGTAGATGTTAAAAAGCATGGGAGACAAAATAGAGCCTTGCGGGACCCCACAGGTCAAAGGCCAGGGGTCCGAGCAGGCATCTCCCAGCTTCACCATCTGGGATCGACCCTCCAGGAAGGACCGAAGCCACGACAAAACCGTGCCCCCGAGACCCATCCCAGAGAGTCGTCCCAGAAGGATCTTGGGATAGCAATTGAGTTATAGATAGCAATTGAGATATAGAAAAGTTATTGAATGTTATTGAGCAGTACTTCATCTCCAAAGCTAACCTTGAGCTATAGATAGGGAAAAACCTGTTTTTCTAACCATAGCAGCTCAGGGTTAGGGTAAAAGGTTCCCAGGATATTTTCTACCTTTTGGGGAAGAGTTACCTCAGTAACTGAAGAAATAAGAAAGAAAGATCATCTCTATGGTTTCACCAATAGACTGTTTTGTTTATAACTTTGACAAGCTGTGCCAAGTCTGCAAGGACTTTGAGAAATAAATATTCTGTTTTGGTGTTCAGAACCTGTAGTAGCCTCAGTTGCTGGGAATCTCAAGCTTCTAATGAAAGACCCCTGCGGTCCGCCCAGACAAAGAGAGAAGCACGTCTTAGTTTTATTTTTATAGGATCTGGGTGTGGCAGCACAGCTCCATTGTGTCCTCCTTATGGCTCACGGCATGATACAACATTGTTAAAGAGAATGATAATACACAATTCAAATGCAAGACATAATGTATTATTATGTGATGCCAGTGAAGCTTCGAAAGCTTGGTTATGTTTTTTATGTCTTGGAGTTGGTCCCAAAAATGTATTGCTGCTTTTGGGTTTTGGGTAGTGTTGTGTTGTTGTTTACAATATCTGTACCCTGTTTTTCAGACACAAAGACTTACAAAATGCCCTCGAAGTCTGCCATAGTTATCAATGTTGTTGTTATTTTTTAATTTTGTTCCTTCTGTAGTCTACAAAGTGAATATCCTCACCTCCAAGCAAGAAGGGAGCTTTGTTAAATACACAGCAATCCTCGTGGATTTCTATAAAAGAGGTAAGCAGAGTTGTGTCTTGACTTTAATTGGACATAGAGAAGATCTAGTGAAATCAATGGGGTGCACTGTATCATTGGTGGGCAGATTTAATCTAGTTTACCTGACCTTGGGAAAGGTACATACCATTGTCGGGCATGCTACCATGTCTCTCTATTACCAAGTAGCCTAAACCTCAAGAGTCATGGTTCAGTCAGACACTAGAGGCAAGGAGATTGTTCAAAAGGTTTATTTGGTCAAATCATCCTGCCGGGTGAACAAAAGGAGAAAGTGCCACAAACAAAGGACTTCATCACATACGGTAAAATCAGTGTTTCTACACTCTTAAGGAACTGCAGCTGACAGTGCCTTTCACATGACACAAGCTTCAAATGTGGGGTAGAGGTATCTTGCCATTTCTAAATTGTGGGTTTTCCTATTGATTCCTAAGCCGGTTGGCAAGTGACTTATTCTTCAAGTCCCCACATAGAGACATGTAAAAATGCCCAATTTAATCATATGATGGGAATTCCCTTTAATCAATTTGTAAACATACAGAGGCGGCCCTAGGTAATTTTCAATGGTAAGCAAACAGTATTTTGCGCCCCCCCCCCCCCCAACCAATCACTGATATATATTTTCTGTTTTCGTGGGAGTTCTGTGTGCCATATTTGGTTCAATTCCATCATTGGTGGAGTTCAGAATGCTCTTTGATTGTAGGTGAACTATACATCCCAGTAACTACAACTCGCATATGTCAAGGTCTATTTTCCCCCAAGAGTGCCTCAAGAGCGCCCCTGGGCAAAATCAACTATACTGCAAATGCTTACTTTGCATAATGGGTTGAGCCGCCCCTGTAAACATACCAATGACGTCACTATGGAGGAAGGAGCAGAGATTGGTAGTATTGATTCCTTTCTTCCACCATTACTTCTTCCACCATTACTGGTTTGGGACTGAGGAAGTATAGCAAAATTCAAAGATACTTAAAACACTCAGGAGAAAAACATAGCAAAGCATGCAAATCCTTCGCTTCTTCTAGTGTCTGTGTAACCTTCTATCGAGCAACTTCCCTTTTGTGACATTTCCCTCTGTGTGTAGTAGTTTGCTCCAACTGTGTTGCTATGGGTTTAGTCTTCTCTTGAAAGAATGCACCAAGACACACAGGTGCTGAAGATGCCATACATCTTTATTGTTCAGAATACAATAGCACTACTGCCCGTCTATATAGGGTTTTAGCTACAATATCATAAATCACCCAAAACCTGGTATGTGGGAAAGGGCAGGCACCTTCTCCCACCTCAGAGCAATTGACTATTATTATTATTATTATTATTATTATTATTATTATTATTATTTCATATACTTGTACTCTGCCCTTCTCACCCCCGAGGGGGGACTCAGGGCAGCCTCACAGCAAACGCAATCCAGTGCCATCATAATGATAAGAACAATCAACAAATTCATTAAAACAAAACATTAAATAAACAGTTGTTAAAACACACCAATTAAAATCCGGGTCCGGGTCAATTCATTGCCACTTCAAAATTGTTTATGTCTTCTTCATACAAGCCGCTGTTCAATTGCCAAATGCAAAGTCCCACAGCTAAGTCCTGAGTTTCCTTCTAAAGGACAGGAGGGAGATGGCCAGTCTGATGCCTTTGCGGAGGGAATTCCACAGACGGGGAGCCACTGTTGAGAAGGCCCTGTCTCTCGTCTCCACCAATCGCGTTTGCGATGGTGGTGGGATCGAGAGCAGGGCCTCTCCAGATGATCTTAAACTTCGTGATGATTCATAGTAGGAGATATGTTTGGACATGTAGTCTGGGCCAGAACCTTTAACCTATAGCTTTAAAGGTTAAAACCAGCACTTTGAATTGTGCTCGGAAGCAGATCGGCAACCAGTGGAGCTGGCGTAACAGAGGAGTTTATGGCCTGTTCATGTGTTCTTGCAGCATCCTGTCCTCCCTTTCAGCCAGGCCCGTAGCCAGGATTTTGTTTTGGGGGGAGCTGAGTTTGATTTGGGGGGGGCCTGAGTCTGAGTGAAAGAGGGTCTACCCTAGCAAACCTTTTGTATCGTTACCCTAATCCCCCCCCCCCCCCCCCCCCCCCCCCGGCTACATGCCTGCTTTCAGCCATTGGCCATGTGCTCTAATTCAGGACCAGGGACCTGATCGTTGCACGGCACGAGTGATCATGACACTGTGTTATCTCCATCTTGGGTCATAAAAGTCCTTTTGAATTCTTACATACTATTTTCTCAATTGCCTCTCTGAAACTTCTGTTGTGCTGTTGGCTTTTGTTTTGTCTATCAAAAGGCTAGCAGAAAGAGACATAAGAGAGCTTCTTTCAAAGCTTCATTTTCCCCCTCCCTCTTGTTCTTAATTCTGCTATGTAAGAATAAGCCCTCTTTATGTTGTGAGTTTCTCAGGCTGTAAGTTGAACTCCCGAGATTACAAAGAGAGAAGGGTTTTAAAAACAACAACAACAACAACAACAAAACGGGGGAGTGACAGTGGGAGGAAAGAAGTCTTTACTGTTTAATGACAAATCAAACAGATTAATCCTAAAGAAAGCGTCCAAAAGTGAATGTGTCTACATTGCCTATTAGACTACTTCCAACTTGGGAAAATAGACATTTTTGACTGCTCTTCTCAGATTGTCCTCAAAGTCATGGCTAGTAGCCACAGCTTGCTAGCAGATGCTGGGAATGTAGTGTCGAAGGAATTTGTTTTCAAGCTGCTTTTCACTTCATTCCATTATCTTCCAGGAGAGGCTTTTGCGGAGAAGAACGCGGAAATCATCTTTATGAAAAAGTATTCCTGTACAGATGTCCAGCTGAATCCGAGGGAGAACTACCTGATCATGGGGAAAGAGGCCTTGAAAATGGGAGAGGGTGCCAATGCCAGGTGAGCTTTTCACCAAGTGTCCTTTCATTGGGATAGACAATGGCCTTCAAGGCACATGGGTCTTTGGATGTGGATGGACTACATTTCACATCATCCTGTGTCAGTACCCACTGAAATCCTGTCAGTATTTTACATTGGCCATGGTTAGTATGTTTCTCAAGTTTAGTTCAGATCTGTCATCGGTGGGGTTCACTGCTCTCTAGATATGGGTGGACTACAACGCCCACCATCCTTTGTCAACCCTGTAGGATGTCCCGAAACAATGTTTTTGCAGTTTAATAAATTTCCCCCATTTTTAATGATAGAATCAATTAGAAAAGGACATTGATAACTGAGGAACAAAAATCATAATAGTGTAATAATAGTAATAATAATAATAATAATATATTTAATATTTAATATATAATATGTATAGTGAAAAAGATATCTCTTTGTAGATTCCAGTATAGACACTGTGATACAGATAATAATGTTATAATTATGATTATATAATATATCTATACACCTAATAAAGGTGAAAATATGTATGTGTGTGTGGCCAGGGTGTCCACTTTACACCAGTGGTTCTCAACGTTCCTAATGCCGCGACCCCTTAATACAGTTCCCCAGCCATTACATTATTTTCGTTGCTACTTCATAATTTAAATTTTGCTACTGTTATGAATCGTTATGTAAATATCTGATATGCAGGATGTATTCTCATTCACTGGACCAAATTTGGCACAAATACCCAATATGCCCAAATTTGAATATTTTTATTTATTTATTTATTTCGTGTACTTCTACCCCGCCTTTCTCAACCCCCGAGGGGGGACTCAGGGCGGCTTACAAAAGGCACAATTCGATGTCTACACAATAATACAGATAAGCGTATAAAACAGCAATTAAAACAATCAGTATATAACACAGTCAATAAACTAATCTCATGCTCAGTGTTCGCCACTCAGAATACTGGTGGGGTTGGGATGGGAGGATTGATTTTGTCATTTGGGAGTTGCAGTTGCTGGGATTTATAGTTCATCTACATTCAAAGAGCATTCTGAACTCCACCAACAATGGACTTGAACCAAACTTGGCACACAGAACTCCCATGACCAACAGAAAATACTGGAAGGGTTTGGTGGGCATTGACCTTGGGTTTTAGAGTTGTAGTTCGCCTACATCCAGAGAGCACTGTGGACTCAAACAATGATGGATCTGGATCAAACTTGGCACGAATATTCAATATGCCCAAATGTGAACACTGGTGAAGTTCGGGGAAAATAGACCTTGACATTTGGGAGTTGTAGTTGCTGGGATTTATAGTTCACCTACAATCAAGAAGCATTCTGAACTCCACCAACGATAGAATTAGGCCAAACTTCCCACACAGAACTCATGACCAACAGAAAATACTGTCTGTGATGGTCTTTGGCGACCCCTCTGACACCCCCTCGCGACCCCTTCAGGGGTCCCGATCCCCAGGTTGAGAACCACTGACTTACACAGACAAGCTCCTGCCTCCACAAACAGCTATAGCTCCCACTACTCAGGAGACACGAAAGACCCTCCCTCCAATGACACTGCAGGTTATAGTGAGCGCTTTAAACATGTCCAAGAGCCCAACCAATGTCTTCCACAGATACAATACTGCCCACCACCCAAGTGAAGGCCTTCATACGGGGACAATTTCGTCCTAGATTTTCTGTTTTTTCCTCCATCACAGGCATCCCAGTGTTTCTTACTCTCTCCACTGGTGCGAAATTTGCATGATTGTTAAGATTAACTTCACAATTCAGCAGCAGAACAGTTGCACAACTTCAGCACTTTCCAGTAGCTTCTTCCTGCACAGTATTTTCAGTCAACTGCTCCCACAGCCTGCAGTCACTCTGGAACCTTTTACAGACACTTGAGCACATGCCCGGCCATTGTCAGTTTTACCATTGTCTTTCCCCCAGTCTAGATGATATTACAAACTTACCACAGCATACAGTTATATCTTGTCTTAGCAGACAGGTTCTTTAATTACATATAGCCTTCGACGAAAAACATCACAGCACAAGGAGAGATATACACTGTACATGACTTCCTTATATACAATTCATTTACACATAGCAATCACCGATTGGTTCCCAACTCATTGACCGAACTCAGACCCAGGATTACATCATTCACAATGACCTGGACTAGGCCAGAACACATTCCCCAGATGAAGTTCTATATACAGTTAATGCATGACTCAGCATTTCCAATAGAAGCCCATTAGCAGTGCATGACTCAGCTATATTACATTGCAATACATTGTAAAACCTGACAATGATCCTGCGCACTGCCTCTCTCTTAACCCTTTGCTATTATTTTCTATGGCACACAGCAAACAGGAGTTGATGGCATGCTTCTTCTCTCTTTCTAGATTCCAGTATCCTTTAGATGCCTTCACCTGGATCGAGTGGTGGCCATCAGAAGACTCAAATTGCCAGTTTTGCCAAGAATTTGCACAAACGATGGAAGATTTGGCAGAAGATCTCTTACTTAGTGGTTGTTAAGCTCCCATAGCATCCCTATGAACTGTTGACAATTCGTCAAAATGTCTTGACCTTCGGTGGAATCCATCACTGTGTCCTTCATAAAGGACAGAATCATTTGTATTGTCAGGTTACATGAGAATGCTATTTTCTTCTTTTTTTGTATATATTGGTAGATTAGGTATAAAGGAATAGGAAGAGGTGTTTTGTGTTGCACCCCAGGCCTGGAAACACCTATGACCACAACACCACACAAGAGTCCAGAGTATAAACAAACAGTTTATTGTAAAAACATAAAATATATGACAAAAATCTATATAAATAGAAATGTAATGTTCATTTGTGGGATTAACAGAACTCAAAAACCACTGGACGAATTGGCACCAAATTTGGCCAACCCAATGTATGTCCTTCACTCAAAAAAATTGATTTTGTCATTTGGAACTTGTAGTTTCTGGGATTTATAGTTCACCCACAAAGAGCATTCTGAACCCCACCAACGATGGAATTGAACCAAAATTGGCACACAGTTCTCCCATGACCAACATGAAATACTGGAAGGGCTTGGTGGGCAGTGTCCTTTGATTTTGGAGTTGTAGTTCACTTACATCCAGAGGTCACTGTGGACTCAAACAATGATGGATCTGGACCAAACTCTACATGAATACTCAATATGCCCAAATGTGAACATTGGTCGAGTTTGGGGAAAATAGAATCTTGACATTTGGGAGTTGTAGTTGCTGGGATTTATAGTTCACCTACAATCACAGAACATTCTGAGCCCCACCAACGATAGAATTGGGCCAAACCTCCCACACAGAACCCCCATGTGGGCCACAGCAACGCGTGGCAGGGGACGGCTAGTCAGGAATCAAAAAATAATAATCAAAAAAGGTTTAGCAATGGATAATAACCAAACAGTAATCCAAATGTCTCATATAGATCCAAAGGTAACACAGTCAAGGAATAGCCAAAAATCATAAGTACAGCATAGTCACAAGCAAAAGGTATACTTTGTAAAATTTGAGCAGAAATATAAAAACAAGAACATAGAAAACTTCCAGGATACTTAAATCCAAAACCAAGTATTGACTTGAAACAGGAACCAGAGAACTCAGGTCTAGCTTCTCACTGGAATGTTGCCTGAACTAACCCTTAGGTAAACAACTTGCTATTTAATAGATACTCATGAAAGCATTTGGTTTCCCACAAATTTTCTTTCCAACTTCCCCACGTAATCGCTCTGACCTACTCTGATCTGTAAACAAAGGCCTTTGTTAATTTCTGTACCTCCAGGTGTTTTTTCCTGGGAGCCTTCTGTATCACTCAGTTCTCTGCCCGACTCCTTATCTAACGTTGCCGTTTCTGGCTCCTCTAACTAAGCTTGAAAGTCTGTACTTTCTGAGTCAGATTTTTCACAGAGAGAAGGACCCTTCCCTTGACTTAAATCTTTATCACTTCACACTTCAGGAAATCCTTCAGGCAATCCCACAATCTTCTCTAAATAATCAGCGAACTCATCAGCCTCAGAAACCTCAGGTTGATCTATTACAGGAATAACAATTGTGTTACAAGTTGTAATGGGAAGTTGAGATTTATGGACAGGGAATCCACCCGGGAAAAGAAAGGGAAGGCTACATTACAGGCAGATCGAGTCGATTAAAGAAGCCGAGGCCTGGATTTTTCTCATTCACTGGATGGCACACAGTACGAAACAACCAAAAACCACATTTCTATCTACTTCAATCAAATAAAAGTCATCACCTTTGAGACTCTCTGCGTGTTATTCCTGCGAGCGCTAGCAGTTTCAGGAGACATTGGATAAACATTTCCCACTCTCTACAAAACTAACTCCAGGAGAACAGGTGCTTTGTTTGCATTGTCTGAAGGTTTTCTTATACCCAGACCTCCACAAAAGTAACTTTTGTAATATACTTTAATATACAAGGGGTATTTTTTAAGTAAGGTCCGTTTTGTTGTAGACACTAGCAGTTCGCTCGCATACCGCAACAAGCATGTGCGTTGTGTACCGGCATGCCTCTGTAGCTAACCTGTATGGTTCTGTTCTGTGCTTTAAAAATGTTTAAGACTATCAACTCACCCTCCGCATGTGAGGTTCGCTCAGTGATACGGTTTTTGTCAGCAAGGAACCTGCCTGCTGCAGAAATTCATCGACAGATTTGTGAAGTGTACGGTGATACTGTTATGAGTGAAAGCAAAGTGCGTAAGTGGGTATGACAATTCAAAGATGGCCGTGACAACGTCCATGATGAGGACCGCTCCGGTCGCCCTTCTTTGATTACAGACGATTTGATTTGATCGCACACTCAAATCTTTGGTTTTTGTGGTCCTCTGTTAGGAGTTTCGGGACCCAACGGGAGCACAGTTTCCTAAACTTTAGGTGTTCAGAAACAATGTTGTAAAGCACTGATCTCGACACGTCAGGAAATTCGTTTGAGAGACCTGTTATTGTGAAGCGCCTGTTCTCACAAATCCTCGCTTCAACTGAAGCCACCAAATCGTCTGTAATCAAAGAAGGGCAACCGGAGCGGTCCTCATCATGGACGTTGTCACGGCCATCTTTGAATTGTCATACCCACTTACGCACTTTGCTTTCACTCATAACAGTATCACCGTACACTTCACAAATCTGTCGATGAATTTCTGCAGCAGGCAGGTTCCTTGCTGACAAAAACCGTATCACTGAGCGAATCTCACATGCGGCGGGTGAGTTGATAGTCTTAAACACTTTTAAAGCACAGAACAGAACCGTCCAGGTTAGCTACAGAGCAGAAACTGAGCACAGTTGTTCCCGAGGCATGCCGGTACACAACGCACGTGCTCGTTGCGGTATTCGCGCAAATTACTAGTGACTGCAACAAAACGGACCTTACTTAAAAAATACCCCTCGTATTTTATTTATATTCCTCTCCATCTCCCCGAAGAGACTCAGAGCAGATTACAGAATACATATATGACGAACATTCAATGTCGTTATACAATTACCAACAAAGACAGACAGTACACATACAGTGGCAAAGGCTTCCCTCTTTTTCATCTCCGGCATCTGGAGGCTGTGCTCAACTCCAGCCACGGGGAGGTGCTGTTGTTCCATTTTCCACGCCAAAGAGCCTGTTTTTGGTGGACGCCTTCCTGATCGAATTCCCGGCATGTCTTCATGGGCGCTTTATACCTCCCCGCCAAAGCATACCTATTCATCTACTCACATTACTGTTTTCGAACTGCTAGGGAAGCAGAAGCTAGGGTTGGTGGTGGGAGCTCACACTGATTCACAGCTTTGAGCTGCTAACCTTCCAGTCAGCAAGATTTCCTGCAGTTGGCAGTTTCACCCGCTGTGCTATCATGACCCCTTTTGCCGTTCCCAAAATAGATTTTGAGAACTACGATACAAAAAGGAACTTTCACCCAAAGTTTACTGGTCGTGGTGAATATCCTCTCTTGGCTTGAGATTATTATTTTTTTGCTTCCTTCATGGTCACATAAAAGACAATGGGAAGCCCCATTCCACAAATAGCTCCTCTTTGAGGTCATCTCTCAGGAGCCGCATGCCAAAGCAGGACAGGGCTGAACTCCGAAATGTATTGTATTTATATCCTTCCTTGTTCCCCAACTTGGCAGAATATATGGCCAAGGTGCAGATAAGATTATGCAATGTCACAACAGCAAAACAGGGTTGTCCTGTGGAATTCTGGGATTACTGGGGTGCATCTACATTGCAGAATTAATGCAATTTGGCACCACTTTAAGTGCCATGGCCCAATGCTATGCAATCTTGGGAGGAGATCACCATTATGTTTGTCCTCATTGGCTATATTTATTTATTTGCTTACAACATTTATATAATAATAATAGTAGTAGTCATTAATAATAATAATAATAATCTATATAAATAAAAATGTAATGTTCGTTTGTGATACCATCGGAACTCAAAAACCACTGGGGGAATTGACACCAAATTTGGACACAAGACACCTAACAGTCCAATTTATGTCTTCCACTCAAAAAAATTGATTTTGTTATTTTGGAATTGTCATTGCTGGGATTTATAGTTTACCTACAATCAAAGAGCATTCTGAACTCCACCAATGATGGAATTAGGCCAAACTTAGCACACAGGGATCCCATGACTAACAGAAAAAACTAGAAGGGTTTGGGGGACATTGACCTTGAGTTTGGGAATTGTAGTTCACCCACATCCAGAGAGCACTGTGGACTTAAACAATGATGGATCTGGACCAAACTTGGCACAAATATTCCATATGCCCAAATATGAACACAGATGGAGTTTGGAAAATAGACCTTGACATTTGGGATTTGTAGTTACTGGGATTTATAGTTCACCTACAATCAAAGAGCATTCTGAACTCCACCAATGATGGAATTGAACCAAACATGGCATACAGGACTTCCATGACCAACAGAACACACTGGGAGGGTTTGGTGGGCATTGACCTTGAGTTTGGGAGTTGTAGTTCACCTACATCCAGAGAGCACTGTGGACTCAAACAATGATGGATCTGGACCAAACTTGACACAAAAATTCCATATGCCAAATATGAACACAGATGGAGTTTGGGGAAATAGACCTTGACATTGGGATTTGTAGTTACTGGGATTTATAGTTCACTACAATTAAAGAGCATTCTGAAACCCACAAACGACAGAAATGGGGCAAACTTCCCACACAGAACCCCTATGACCAACAGAAAATACTTAAGGCCATCCAGTCCAACTCTCTTCACCAGGGCAAGAAAATGTAATCAGAGCCCTCCTGACAAAGAGCCATCCAGTCATAAATATGATAGATAGATAGATAGATAGATAGATAGATAGATAGATAGGATTCTCTCTCTCACACACAGATATAGTATCATAGATTTGAAAGGAACCCCTAAAGAAGGCCAATTATATGTTGCATGTTCCAGAGTAGGCAAACCAGACAATCTATACATCAAAACTGACAAAGAAACAAGAAATACTGTTTACCCACAAGCATAAAGAAATTACATATATTAGAAACCAACACTTTCTCATTACTTTATTTTCAAGATCACCAGACTAGGCCACAGCAACGCATGGCAGGGGATGGCTAGTATTAATATAATAATTAATAAATAAATATATTTTTTGTCGTGACTTGAGAGTCGCTTCTGGTGTGAGAGAATTGGCCGTCTGCAAGGACGTTGCCCAGGGGATGCCTGGATGATTTGATGTTTTTATCATCCTTGTGGGAGGCTTCTCTCATGTCCCCGCATAAGGAGCTGGAGCTGATAGAGGGAGCTCATCTGCCTCTCCCCGGATTCGAACCTGCGACCTGTCGGTCTTCAGTCCTGCCGGCACAGGGGTTTAACCCACTGCGCCACCGGGGGCTCCTAATAATAATAATAATAATAATAATAATAATAATAATAATTTATTTATACTCCGCCACCATCTCCCCAAAGGAGACGCGGGGCGGCTTACATGAGGCCATCTTACATGAGGCCAAGCCCAGAAATGCATTACAATACAGGCAATATCATAATAAAATAGAATAAGCATAAAATATAACAAACAATACAAAATAATACAATAGAAAATCAAACAATCACAAGGAGCGGGTCCCATGTGTAAAATAAAGTCCCGAAGGGGACTCAGAGCAGCTTACAAAATATATATACATAACAATATATTATATTATTAGCATAGTACAATATCAGTATTAAATATTACTGTATTGTATTATACCATTATATTGTAATATTATTAGTAATATTACATGTAATATAAAATATATAATTATAATATCATATTAATAATAGTAGTATTATATTGTATTACATTATTAATATTATAAATATTATATGTATATACAATATATTACACTACATTACATTATATTATTAGCATAGCACAGGAGACAAGGTGGAACTGTCCCCTGCCCCCCCCCCCCTTTCAATATTTCAAAATTTATATCAGGTCAATACAGAGTGCAGTATGGTACATAATGGGGCATAGTGAGTAGATAGTAACTCTCAAGCAACCAGACACAATGTAGTGTCTGGTTGCTTGAGAGAAATGTATCTCTGGCATCTAGGAAGCCCCATGGTCCTGGTTAACTGGGAATCTATGCTCCCGAGGCTTGATGGTTTTTGACATGATGCCCGATGCATCATTTTCTGTTTCTGTGCCAACCACATCCTGCTTGCTTTTCTTTCTTTCTTTCTTTCGGAAGTGTATCATCTGGGCTCAAGGGGATTTACCAAGGGAAATAGGTCACAGTACGGAAAGTACCAGAAACTTATCTTGAGTTTCAGAATGCAGCGGAGGCTGGAGTCCTACAGATCTGGGCCCTCCTATGGACTAGCACCAGTCCCCAGCGATTTATGTATTGTATCTGAAGCCAATGGAGAACACAGTATAATGTATTTTGAAAACCACAACAAAGTTAAGAACTTGGCATTATACTAAATGTCCTTTGACCAGATGCTGGCCACTTGGAGTGCCTCTGGTGTCGCTATAAGAAGGTCCTCCATTGTGCATGTGGCTGGGCTCAGACTGCATTGAAGTGAATGGTCAGTGGTTTGCTCTTCTCCACACTCGCATGTCATGGATTCCACTTTGTGGCACCCTTTCTTAAGGTTGGCTCTGCATCTCATGGTGCCAGAGCACAGTCTGTTCAGCCCTTTCTGTGTGTCCAGTATCAGACACTCTCTCCCTCTCCAATGCCAGAGATACAACTTAAAGGTGTAACATTACAAAATGTTGACTATGTATTGTCAAAGGCTTTCATGGCCGGACATGAAACAACAAATCCAACAAATGCTTCGTTCAGCAAAGGACAAGAGGGATCCTCTCACCTCTGCAGGAGTCTACTGTATACCATACAGCTGTGGACAAGTCTCCATAGGGACCACCAAACGCAGCATTGCCCAGACATGCATCAAGGAGCATGAAAGGCACTGCAGACTAACTCAACCAGAGAAGTCAGCCATAGCAGAGCACCTGATGAACCAACCTGGACACAGCATATTATTTGAGAACACAGAAATGCTGGACCACTCTTACAACCACCATGTCAGACTACACAGAGAAGCCACTGAAATCCACAAGCATATGGACAATTTCAACAGAAAGGAGGAAACCATGAAAATGAACAAAATCTGGCTACCAGTATTAAAAAACTCTAAAATTACAACACCACAACAACAGAGAGGAAACAAACAAGGACATCTAATCACCTCTCAACAAAAGATTCCCCCAGGCACTTCCAAGCCATTAAATGCTAATTATGGTGGTCAGTTGAAACATTCACACCTAGCTCCAGCAGACAAAAGTCCTTCGTCCCACCCTGGTCATTCCACAGATATATAAACCCATTTTCCTACTTCCAACAGACCTCACTACCTCTGAGGATGCTTGCCATAGATGCAGGTGAAAAGTCAGGAGAGAATGCCTCTAGGCCATGGCCATATAGCCTGAAAAAACCTACAACAACCCAAATGTTGACTATTTTCGCTCCCTTGGCAGCCACCTCTCCAACAAAGTCAACATTGACACTGAAATACAACACTGAGCTCTGCAAGTGCAGCATTTTTCTGAATGAAGCAGAGAGTGTTTGAGAACTGGGACATCCGTAGAGATACCAAGGTGCTTGTTTATAAAGCTATTGTCCTCCCAATCCTGCTATATGCCTGCGAGATGTGGACTGTCTACAGACGTCACATGCAACTCCTGGAATTATTCCATCAGCGCTGCCTCCGAAAAATCCTACAAATCTCTTGGGAAGACAAGCGGACAAATGTCAGCGTGCTGGAAGAAGCAAAGACCACCAGCACTGAAGCAATGGTCCTCCGCCATCAACTCTGCTGGACCGGCCATGTTGTCTGGATGCCTGACCACCGTCTCCCAAAGCAGTTGCTCTATTCTGAACTCAAGAACGGAAAACGGAATGTTGGAGGGCAGGAAAAGAGATTGAAAGATGGGCTCAAAGCCAACCTTAAAAACTGTGGCGTAGACACTGAGAACTGGGAAGCCCTGACCTGTGAGCGCTCCAGCTGGAAGTCAGCTGTAACCCACAGTGCTGCAGAATTTGAAGAGGCACGAATGGAGGGTGAAAGAGAGAAACGTGCCAAGAGGAAGGCATGTCAAGCCAACCCCGACCGGGACCGCCTTCCACCTGGAAACCGATGCCCTCACTGCGGGAGAAGATGCAGATCAAGAATAGGGCTCCATAGTCACCTACGGACCCACCCGCAGGACTACGAGGGATCGCCTAAGTAAGTAATCAGACACTGATTGAGGTTCTGGGTTTTAACCTGCCACTTTTGGACTCTCGCTTGCTGAGGTGTTCCTGTGAGTATCTCTGTAGATCTTAGGAAGCTATTTTTTAATTTAAGGTGTTGACATGTTGGGTGACAGAGATGTCACTTGCCTTGGTGCTTTCATTATAGGCAGCTACTTCCCGACAGAAGCAATTTTCATTATTATTATTATTATTATTATTCCGACACAAAAACACAGTATGTCACAGCAAACGAGATCTATATGCTGGGTTTCGTATCACAAAATCACAAGTCAAACACTTCCCAAGCGTCTAGGAATGTGTGATGTATTTTTGAATGATGCGCGCAGATCCAAGTCAGGTGGCCTTTTGCAGTTGACAGATCGTGATTTTGTCAATGTTTATTGTTTCCAAATGCCGGCTGAGATCTTTTGGCACAGCACCCAGTGCGCCAATGACCACTGGGACCACCTGAACTGGTTTATGCCAGAGCCTTTGCAGTTCGATTTTAAGGTCCTGATAACGGCTGAGTTTTTCCTGTTGTTTTTCTTCAATGCGACTGTCACCTGGTATGGCAACATCAATAATCCAGACTTTTTATTATTAATATTATTAATTAGACACACTACTTTTGAGGTTGCTTGCCATAGATGCAGGCGAAACGTCAGGAGAAAATGCCTCTAGAACATGGCCATATAGCCCGAAAAAACCTACAACTCATTAATATTATTAATTAATATTAATAATAATAATATTATTTAATAATTAATATTAATTGTTGTTGTTGTTGTTTGTATCTCAAAGTGGCTGCAGAGGTGCAGAGGATTAAACCGCTAAGCCGCAGAACTTGGGGACTGGAAGGTTAGCGGTTCGAATTCAGAGAGCAGGCTGAGCTCCTGCTGTTAGCCCTAGCTTCTGCCAAACTAGTACTTTGAAAACATGCAAGTGTGAGTAGATCAATAGGAGCTGCTTTGGCGGGCAGGTAACGGTGCTCCATGCAGTCATGCTGGCTACATGACCCTGAAGGAGTCTATGGACAATGCCAGCTTAGAAATGAAGATGAGCACCAGCCTACAGAGTCGGACATGACTAGACTTAATGTTTACCGTTTATTATTGACTAGCCATCCCCTGCCACGCGTTGCTGTGGCCCAGTCTGTGTATATGTGTTTTGTGTGTGTAAATGTGTGTGTGTGTGTGTACATATTTGTGTATATATGTGTTTTGTGTATATATTTATATGTGGATGTATATATATGTGTGGGTGTATATACATGTGTGTGGCCCAGTCTGTGTATATGTGTTTTGTGTGTGTAAATATGTGTGTATGTCTGTGTGCATATTTGTGTATATATGTGTTTTGCGTATATATTTATATGTGGGTGTATATATATGTGTGTATATATTTGTGTGTTTATATGCATATCGTGTATATGTGTGTGCTTGTCTATATGCATATTTGTGTGTATATATGTATGTATGTGGATATGTATATGCATATATGTATGTGTGCATGTATATGTGCATGTGTATATGTATATATGTGTGTATATGTGTATATGTGTGTGTTTGTGCATATATATACATGTGTATGAATGTGTGCACGTGCTTATGTATATGAGTGTATGTGTATATGTATATATGGTGTATTTTTATGATTTTTAAATCTGTTCTGCTGGGGTTTTGTGTGTGTGTGTGTGTGTGTGTGTGTGTGTGTTTATGGGTGATGGACACTTATTGAACTGTTAGGGGTATAGTGTCCAAATTTGGTGTCAATTTTACATTTTTTTTATATTGATACACAACAAGATTAGTACACAGCTCAAATTGGGATATCACATAGTTAAAATACATATGACATACATACATACAAAACTTTTGCAGTTTAATAGACTTTCCCTATTGTGTTTAGGATAGAACCAATTATGAAATAGTGGCATTGATATGAACCCAGGGACACAACCCCTAGTGTGACATGTAGTGTCCCTGTGATGGGTTCCTTCCAGGAGGGGTCTTTTTCCCAGGTTGCCAAACTACACCTCCCAGGATGCTACAGCATTGAGCCAATGTGGTGCCAAACCTCATCCAGGCTGCAGTGTAGATGGCTGCAGGATGGAGGGGTTTCCTGCCTCGAATTGAGAGAGAGAGAGAGAGAGAGAGAGAGAAGAGGAAGCAAGTGAGACGTTTCCAAGGCTCTGCTGATCTGCTTCTGCCATGGCTGAGAAAGAAGGGCACAATGAGGGAAATAAAGGGGAGCCTTCTTTGGAAGAGAGCTCAGAACCCCCCTGCGAAAGGTGAGAGAGAGAGAGAGAAGAGAGAAGGAAAGAAAGAGAAGGAGACCTCCCTCCATCTGTTTCTCCCTCCATCCCTGGGGCTGCAGGAGTCACCTGACGTGTTTGGGTGGCGTTAGGGGAGGGGGGGGGGGCTTGAGAGAGAGAATGAATGAATGAATGAATGAATACAAAAGGAGGAGGGGGGAATCCGGGCCCGCATCCTTCTTTTCATCTTTCTCTTTTCCTATCCCTTCATCTCTCCATCCGAACAGTCTCTCCATCCCTCCATCTATCCCTTTATCCCGCCATCCTTTCAATCTTCAGTCTGTCCATCGCTCCATCTATCTCTTCCTCCTTCCCTGCCTCCTCTCTTTTCCTATCCCTTCATCTCTCCATCCTATCGGTCTCTCCATCCCTCCATCTATCCCTTCATCCCTCCCTCCTCTTTTCTACCCCTTTATCCCTCCATCCTATCAGTCTCTTCATCTATCCCTTCATCTCTCCTTCTCTTTTCCTATCCCTCCATCCCTCCATCCTATCGGTCTCTCCATCCATCCATCTATCCCTTCATCCCTCCCTCCTCTATTCCTATCCCTCCATCCTATCAGTCTCTCCATCCCTCCATCTATCCCTTCATCCCTCCCTCCTCTTTTCTACCCCTTTATCCCTCCATCCTATCAGTCTCTTCATCTATCCCTTCATCCCTCCTTCTCTTTTCCTATCCCTCCATCCCTCCATCCTATCAGTCTCTCTATCCCTCCATCTATCCCTTTATCCCTCTCTCCTTCTATTTTCCTATTCCTTCATTCCTCCATCCTATCAGTCTCTCCATCCCTCCATCTATCCCTTCATCCCTCCCTCCTCTTTTCTACCCCTTTATCCCTCCATCCTATCAGTCTCTTCATCTATCCCTTCATCTCTCCTTCTCTTTTCCTATCCCTCCATCCCTCCATCCTATCGGTCTCTCCATCCATCCATCTATCCCTTCATCCCTCCCTCCTCTATTCCTATCCCTCCATCCTATCAGTCTCTCCATCCCTCCATCTATCCCTTCATCCCTCCCTCCTCTTTTCTACCCCTTTATCCCTCCATCCTATCAGTCTCTTCATCTATCCCTTCATCTCTCCTTCTCTTTTCCTATCCCTCCATCCCTCCATCCTATCGGTCTCTCCATCCATCCATCTATCCCTTCATCCCTCCCTCCTCTATTCCTATCCCTCCATCCTATCAGTCTCTCCATCCCTCCATCTATCCCTTCATCCCTCCCTCCTCTTTTCTACCCCTTTATCCCTCCATCCTATCAGTCTCTCCATCCCTCCATCTATCCCTTCATCCGTCCCTCCTCTTTTCCTATCCTTCATCCCTCAATTCTATCAGTCTCTCTATCCCTCCATCTATCCCTTTATCCCTCCCTCCTTCTATTTTCCTATTCCTTCATTCCTCCATCCTATCAGTCTCTCCATCCCTCCATCTATCCCTTCATCCCTCCCTCCTCTTTTCCTATCCATTCATCCCTCCATCCTATCAGTCTCTCCATCCCCCCACGTATCCCTTCATCTCTCCTTCTCTTTTTCTATCTCGTCATCCTCCTCCTATCAAACTTCAGCCTGTCCATCTATCTATCCCTTCATCCCTTCCTCTCGCCTTCTCTTTTTCTATCCCTTCACGCTTGTCTCCATCTTTTCTTCTCCATCAATCCCTCCTCTTTTTCTATCCCTTCATCCCTCCATCCTATCAGACCTCATCCTATCCATTCCTTCATCTCTTCCTCCCTCCTTCTCTTTTCCTATCCCTTCATCCCTCCATCCTATCAGTCTCTTCCATCTATCCCTTCATCCCCCTCCCTCTCTTTTCCTATCCCTTCATCCATCCATCCTATCAGACCTCAACCTATCTATTTCTCCATCCCTCCATCCTTCTCTTTTTCTATCCCTTCATCCCTCTATCCTATCAGAGCTCAGCCTGTCCATCCATCTATTCCTCCATCTCTCCTTCTCTTTTTCCATCCCTTCATCCCTCCCTCCTTCTCTTTTCCTATCTCTTTTTATGTATTTATTGTAATAATGCATCTTTGTAAATTGCCTTTTCAAAATTCATTTTAAAATCACACACACACATACATACAAACACACACACATGCAAAATGGTTTTTGAAAAGACAGTCTACAAAGGTGCATTTAAAAAGATGCGCATACATTTACATATATTCTCTCTCTCTCTCTATATATATATATATATATAAATAAAAATGTAATGTTCGTTTGTGGGATTAACAGAACTCAAAAACCACTGGGGAATTGACACCAAATTTGGACACAAGACACCTAACAACCCAATGTATGTCCTTCACTCATAAAAACACTGAAAAACACAGCAGAAGGGACTTAAAAGCCCCAAAATGCTAGATGACAAAAAGCTAAACGGGAGAAGGAAGGAAGGAAAGAAGAGAAAAGAAAGAAAGAAGGAAGGAAGGAAGGAAGGAAGGAAGGAAGGAAGGAAGGAAGGAAAGAAAGAGGGGAAGGAAAGAAAGGAAGGAAGGAAGGAAGGAAGGAAGGAAGGAAGGAAGGAAGGAAGGAAGGAAGGAAGGGGAGAAGGAAGCATGGAAGCAAAGGGAAAAGGAAGGAAGGAAAGAGCTAGAGAAGGAAGGAAGGAGAGAAAGAGGGAGGGAAAAGAAAAGGGAAGGAAGGAAAGCTAGAGAAGGAAGGAAAGAGGGAGTGAAGGAAAGAAAAAAGGGAAAGAAGGAAGGAAAGAGGGAGTGAAGGAAGGGGGAAGATGTAGAGAAAGAGGGAGGGAAGGAAAGAAGGAAAGAGAGAAGGAAGAAAAGAGAGACAGCAGAAGAGAAAGAAAAAGGGGGAAGGAAGGAAAGAGATAGAGAAGGATGGAAGAAGAGAAGGAAAGACGGAAAGGAAGGAAGGAAGGAAGAAAAGAGGGAGTGAAGGAAGGAGGGAAAGAAGGAGAGAAAGAGGGAAGGTTGGCTACAGCAACGCGTGGCTGTACAGCTAGTATCTATATAAATAAAAATGTAATGTTCGTTTGTGGAATTAACATAATTCAAAAACCACTGGACGAATTGACACCAAATTTGGACACAAGACACCTAACAGACCAACAAGTGACCGTCACTCATAAAAACACTGAAAAACACAAACAGAAGAAACTTAAAAGCCAAAAAAGAAAGAAAAAAAAACATTACAACACATGTGCAAAACCACATATATAAACACAAACACACATATATACACATATGCACAAATACACACACACACACACACACATATACACAAAGAAAACACATATACATAAACTGGGTAACAGCAACGCAGGGCAGGGGGCGGCTAGTATGTGCATGTGTGTGTGTGTGTGTGTGTATATATATATGTATACATATATATCTGTTTTTCTCCTCCTTCTGCATCCTATCCAGAAACAACAACGGCAAGGAGAACCACTTAAATTGTGCCTGCAAAGAAGGAGCCGTGTCAGTTGAAAAGGTATATTTCCCCCTGTAATATAGACTCTTAAGAGTTGGAAGGGTCCCCAGAAGCCATCTAGCCCAACCCCCTTCTGCCAGGCAGGAAGGCACCATCAAAGCATTCCCAACAGATGACCATCCAGCCGCTCTGAGTCCCCTTCAGGGTGAGAAGGGCAGGATACAAATAGAGTAAATAAATAAATAGTTTAGAGACAGCTTCGACCTAGATTTCTTCTACCTGGAGTGTTTTGTTTTGCACCTCATTTGAAACCTCTTTGCTAACTGGGCTTCATAGGTGACTTTCTAAACCGGTTGGAAAATTAACTGTCAACAGACAAAGGTGGAAGTGTTCTTAGTGGACGCTTTCTGTGCGGATTTCTCTCTCCCTTTATTTAATGGAGTGGATCCAAGGTTTATTTTCCGTTTGGGTTCCAAGTGGTGGCCGAGTTCCATACCTTTCCAGGATAATTTATGACGTCTGAATGCACACTTTGGACCAAGTGCCCACTTAGCTGATAGTTTTAGCAGCTTTTCATATCTTTACCGTAGTTTATCATCGTTTGGGATCATGGTGCTCTACAACTCCCCCAAATCAAGGTGAATTCCCCCCAAAGTCCCCCATTATCTTTTGTTGGTCATGAGGGTTCTGTGTGCCAAGTTAGGTCCAGGTCAGTCGTTGGTGGAGTTCAGTATGCTCTTTGGTTGTAGGTGAACTATAAATCCCAGCAACCACAACTACAAAATGTCAAGGTCTATTTCCCCCAAACTCCACCTGTATTCACATTTGGGCATATTATTTGTGCCAAGTTTGGTCCAGATCCATCATTGTTAGAGTCTATAGTGCTCTCTGGATGTAGGTGAACTACAACTCCTATTAATCAAGGTCAGTTCTGGATGTAGGTTAACTAAAACTCCAAAACTCAAGGTGAATTCCCCCCAACCCATTCCAGTATTTTCTGTTTGTCAGCATCGTTGATGGAGTTCAGAATGTGCTTTGATTGTAGGTGAACTATAAATCCCAGCAATAACAACTCCCAAATGTCAAGGTCCATTTCCCCCAAACTCCACTGGAATTCACATTTGGGCATACTGAGTATTTGTGCCAAGTTTGGTCCAGATCCATCATTGTTAGAGTCTATAGTGCTCTCTGGATGTAGGTGAACTACAACTCCTATAAATCAAGGTCAGTTCTGGATGTAGGTGAACTACAACTCCAAAACTCAAGATCAATGACCACCAAACCCTTCCAGTATTTTCTGTTGGTCATGGGAGTTCTGTGTGCCAAGTTTGGTTCAATTCCATCATTGGTGGAGTTCTATCTAATAATAATAATGATAGAAAATAATAAATGCCTGGTTCAATTTCAATGCCATCTCTCTTCTTATCTGCATGTGGCGCAGTTGGCTGGGAGTCAACAGCATTAAGATCACTACTACAAAATCACTACTTAAAGCTCACTACCGAAAGCTCATGAGTTCGAAGCCAGCCTGGGTCGGAGTGAGCTTCTGACCAATTTGTGTAGCTTGCTGTCGACCTTTGCAGCCCAAAAGACAGTTGCATCTGTCAAGTAGGAAATTTAGGTACCGCTTATGCGGGGAGGCAAATTTAACTAATTTACGAGGCCATAAAAATCTCCAGCAAGCATGCAAAGAATAAGGAAGTACTTCATCAGTGTCACAAATGGACAGCTCTCCTGGTGGCCAGAATACCCTCATGAAATGCTGGAATGTTAAATAGCCTCTGTGTGTCTGTCTATATATGTTGTGTGTCTATGGCATTGAATGTTTGCCATGTATATGTACATTGTAATCCGCCCTGAGTCCCCTACGGAATATAAATACTGTAAATAATAATAAATAAATAATTGTTTGGTTCCAGGCGTTTGGTGTTCATAAGGAAATATCGGAGATTACGGTGCATTGTGGGATCCCTGGATGCCTCTGGTCCGGCAGCTTGAAGAACCTGGAGGTAAGAGATAAGCCTCGTTTACTGTATGTTGACAGATGAAGGCCGATGGCTCCTGTGTTGGTGGGATGGTGAATCCATTCTGGGTTCTAGCCAGAGCCGGAACAGCCCTCTTTGATGGATGCTCCAGTTCTAGATTTCCTACGTCCAGGGATGGGTGGGACTAAATGCCCTCTAAGGGCCCCCTTCGATGACCGGCGCTTGTGTCTTAACGTTATGGCTTTCAGGAGCATCAGCGCCTGTGCGAATACACCCCGATCTCGTGCCACTTTGGGTGCGGACTGGTGGCAATACGGAAACAACTGGATCAGCATTTGCAGGACTGTTGCCTGAAGGCAAGTTTGCATCTTTCGTTTGTTCTTCATTTGTTTGTCTCTGCGAATGTGTGCACTCATGCTCTTTGGGAAACTAGAAACTTTCAGGCCCTGCAATGAGCTGTTAGCTGTATTGAAGTCACGGAGCAAATCTCTGACGCTGTTGAACTGCAACTCCCATTATCCCTGTGCCGTCACACCCAGATCCTATAAAAATAAAACTAAGATGTGCTTCTCTCTTTGTCTGGGGTCTTTCTTTAGAAGCTTGAGATTCCCAGCAAGTGAGGCTACTACAGGTTTTGTACACCAAAACAGAATATTTATTTCTCAAAGTCCTTGCAGACTTGGCACAGCTTGTCAAAGTTACAAACAAAACAGTCAATTGATGAAACCATAGAGATGATCTTTCTTTCTTTTTCCTTCAGTTACTGAGGTAACTCTTCCCCAAATGGTAGAAAATATCCTGGGATCCTTTCACCCTAACCCTGAGCAGGTTTTTCCCTATCTATAGCTCAAGGTTAGCTTTGAAGTTGAAGTACTGCTCAATAATATTCAATAACTTTTCTATCTCTCAATTGCTATCTATAACTCAATTGCTATCTATAACTCAATTAGACCCAATATTACTCAATCTGCCTCTCTATCTATAGTATCTCAATTTCTCAATTGCTATTCTATCTATCTCAATTAGCTTCTTTATCTATATAACTCAATCACTATCTCAGTCGTACTTACAATGATTTTTTCAGAGCAACCTAGCTGACCAACAGCACATCTGAGATTCCAAAATGGAGATCTCAAGCCCAGGAAAAAAAGGTGGACTCCTAACCCAAAGAGATACTTTCTAAACCAATAGCTGCAAAAAGGCCTACAGGCTGGCTTTCCAGCCTCTGATGCTGTTAACTTTCAGGTTGCAACTGAAATTGTAGCAACCCTAGGGAAATGCAAAAGAATGCTAACCCATGCAGCTAAAAGGCAATGTAAACCATGCTTCCTGACTAGAAGAAGAGCTGTTCAGCAGTGGAACTCACAGCCTTGTAGTCCATTGAAAAATTCTACTTTGGAGACGTTCAAACAGAGGCTGGATGGCCATCTGTCAGTGGTGCTTTGTTGGTGCATGGAGGCAGAAAGCAGTAGGACTGTATGGCCTTTGGGTGTCTGTTCCAACTCTAGAATTCTATGATCCTATATTATTATCATCATCATAATCATCATCAGAGGCTGAGTGGCCATCTGTCGGGAGTGATTTATTTATTTATGACATTTATATGTCGCCCTTCTCACCCCGAAGGAGACTCAGACTGGCTTACAAGATATATATACATACAATATATTAATTTATTTATTGTTTATTTATTTATTTACTCTATTTATATACCGCCCCTCTCTGCCCAGAGGCGACTTGGAGCTGCTATTAAATTATTAGCATAGTACAATATCAGTATTATATATTACTATAGTACAATATCAGTATTATATATTACTATATTGTACTACGCCATTATATTGTAATATTATTAGTAATATTACATGTAATATAAATTATATAATTATAATATTTGATTTAATGGTGCGTTTCCTGCATAATGGCAAAATGGGATTGGACTAGGTGACCAATGAGGTGTCTTTGAACTCTAGAATTTTATGATCCTATTAATTATTAATATTATTATAATTATATCAATATTATTATAATCCACCTGTCGGAGATGCTTTGTTGTTTTCCTGCATATTGGCAGAATGGGGTTGGACTAGATGATGGATGAAATATCTTCCATGATCCTATTATTATTATTATTATTATTATTATTATTATTATTATCAGAGGCTAGACTACTGTCTGTCAGGGATGCTTTGATTGTGTGTTTCCTGCATATTTGCAGAAGGGGATTGGATTGGGTGGTCCACGGGCTCTCTTCCAACTCTAGCATTCTATTATTATTATTATTATTATTATTATTATTATTATTATTATTATTATTATTATTAGAAGCAGGCTGGCCATCTGTGGGGGGTGCTTTGATTGTGCATTTCCTGCATATTGGCAGAATGTGGTTGGACTAACCACATTCTGGTCCAACTCTAGGATTCTATGGTTCTAAGTCATGGAAAATAAACGGCATTTTCCCCTCCCGACCGGCAAAACATACACCGCAGTTGACGTTTGCCAACAATTTCATTGGCACAACAACCCGAAATCAAACCGCTTCTCCTAGCACACTTTCCTCTTCGCCGCTTTCTCCCACTGAGCCAAGAAAAGCGCTCTTTGGAGCGTTTGATGCTGTCAGAGACGCTGGAGCAAAGCCAGGTTTGAAAGGAAGAAAGTTGGCAACTTGACTTGACAATTCCCTCCTTTCCTTGGCTCAGCCCGCTTTTCTTTGGGAAACTCATTGGCCATTTATTTAATAATAGTAGTACTAAATTATTATTATCAATAATACATAATACAGGAAGAAAAGCTTTCGAAAAAGGTGTTTCTTGGTCAGAGGCTTTGTTAGCAGAATTTTGCCTACATTGTATTGTGTTGCCCTCACCCATATTTATCTATTTCATGTATGTGTGTGCAGATATGTATATCATTATCTGTGCTTTAAAGCTGCTTTTGCTGGTCGCCTCCCAACAGAATCTTGCCGTCGTGCCCGCAAGAGAGGAAGGGTGCCCGTTTTCCAGCATCGGGTGCTTCTTTATGGTAAGACCAGCATTTGCATCTGTCATGGGAAGGGGAAATAAACCTCAGAAGAGCATCTGCCTGCCTGCCTGCCTGCCTGCCTGCCTGCCTGCCTGCCTGCCTGCCTATCTATCTATCTATCTATCTATCTATCTATCTATCTATCTATCTATCTATCTATCTATCTATCTATCTATCTGTCTGTCTATCTATCTATCTTCCTGTAGATCTATCTATCTATCTGTCCATCCATCCATCCATCCTTCTATCTGTCTGTCTATCTATCTATCTTCCCATCCATCTACCCATGTATCTATCTGTCTGTCTGTCTATTTATCTTCCCATCCATCTATCCATGTATCTATCCATCTATCCATGTATCTATCTATCCATCCATCCATCCATCCATCCATCCATCCATCCATCCATCCATCCATCCA